ATAAATAACTCCTAAGGAATATGCATTTTTCTCGTTTACTATAGTAATAAAATTGCCAGTAAACTCGAACATACTGCCTAAATTTTTCTTTTCTTTTTTTTTTTTTTTTTTTTTTTTTTTTTTTTTTTTTTTTTTTTTGAGATGGAGTCTTGCTCTGTTTCCTAGCTGGAGTGCGGTGGTGGCGCGATCTCCACTCACTGCAACCTCTGCCTCCTGGGCTCAAGCAATTCTCCTGTCTCGGCCTTTTGAGTAGCTGAGACTACAGGCACACGCCACCATATCCGGCTAATTTTTGTATTCTTAGTAGAAATGGGGTTTCACCATGTTGGTCAGGCTGGTCTCAAACTCCTGACCTCAAGTGACCCACCCGCCTCATCCTCCCAAAGTGCTAGGATTACAGGCGTGAGTCACTGAACCCACCCTCTAAATTTTTAATTTAGAGCATATAACTGTTTTAAAATCTTCTTGTCTCAGAAGCTAGATTATAAAATATTTAAGAGACTTATTAATAAATTTTTTAAAGGCCCATAATAGTTCCCAAAATGCAGGTGGAAAACTCATATTGAAAAGGTACCAGGTGACATCTTCTTCCGACTTTACCTAACAAACCACTGCAGCTTTTCTAAACAGCACCGGCTCTTGGAGTCTCACTGCTGAAACCAGCAGAACAGCCTAGAAGCGTTCAAACTCACAGGTTTCCCCAGGCTTTGACTAGCCAGTGTTGCCACAGCCTGGGCAGTGCCAGTACACAAACACGGACACTCCCTATGCTCCTTCTGCAAGGGTCTCTATTGTCAGGGCCTGAGTCCTCCATAAAAACAATTTCTCCCAGCAGGAGGAAAACCAGAGAGTTAGTCTCCTGAACAATAACTTAGAGGGCAATTCTGACCTTACTCAGGACTGTGGAACTGATGGGGGAAAAAAAAAGTTAAAAAGTTCTAGGGCTGGGTGGAATAACAGGCTGATTTCAATTCTGTTATATAGGCATAGAAATCAGGGCATTTTGGAAAAACATATAATTTCCCATGTAATGTCTTTGCTTCCCATTCATCTACATTATTCTCTTCTACTCCCCTCCTCCCTTCCCAGCAAGGCTGAGAAAGCACTTGGGATTGTTTCTCTGGGGAGGAGAAATATAAAATTACTCCTGTCAGCTTAAGAAATGAAAAAAATTATCAACCAGCTTCTCAGTCACACCAGTCTCTGCCTTCTGCTATCAGCCATGACATCCTCATCATGACAGAGATTTCTTGTCCATATTTTCATTTTGGAAACTTTTTGTTTTACAAACTTGTCCGACCCTAAGAACCACCAATGAGGCTTATTAGAAATTCAGATTCTCTGGTTCATTCCAAACTTAATCAGCGTCTTCAGGGGGAAGGACCTAAGACTATTTTTTCAGTATCTAGATAATTCTCACGATGCAATAAATCTAAGAAACACTGATCTTGGGACCATGTTCATCTTAAAAAAATAAATCCATTCTCAACTTTCCTTTACGAGACCCTTAGAAAGCAGCATATGGATTAAAAGAACTGAGCTGCACATATCAAGCTAAACCCAGCCAACTTTGCATGCTGGTCCTTTAGGGCAACAAAATAATACATGAAAATGAACTAGTTGTTCTCAATTGTTAAGTAATTATCCTGAGGGTTGGTGGGTCCAAGCCTCTATTTAGGCAGAGAAGGTTCATCTAAATTTCAATTACTTAAAGCATTATCATGTGTTCTACCTAGCAAAGGAATGATATCGTCTTATACGCAGTTATCAAAGACCTGAACAGACTAAAACAACTATGTCTAAAATTCAAAAGGTAATACAAAAACATAAAGAGCTTCTTTTTAAATTTTTATTTATTTTTTTCCTTTTTTCCTCCTCCTCCTCCTCCTCCTCAAAGAGCTTCTTGAGAATGACATAAAAAAGAAAATAAAATGGATTTAAATATGCCTATTTCTTTGACCACTGCAACATCCTCGGTGTGTAGTACAGAACATGGCACATGGAAGGCATTTAATACATGGTTGACAAGGGGATGAATGAGAGTAAATGAAGGAATGAGACGTGTCAGTGAGACAAACAAAAAATAGCATGGTATAAGTCAGTAGTGCCTTCAGAGGAGAGAAAAATATTGTTTTTATTTCTTTAATTTACCTGTTAGAAAACGTTTACCAGCCTTTAGTCTGAATAATTGACATTGAAATTTACTTTCAAAACAGGAAAGGCAAATCCTGAGAGGCCCACAAAAACACAAAAGGAAGGAAACGAAAGCGAAGGCAGTGCTTCAGGACTAATAAAACCCCAGACAGGCAGTCCATGAGGACAGCAGCACACAGTGTGACATGGATGCTCCTCTCCAGAGTGTGGACTCGGCATTAAAAACCACGCACAGCATACTTCAGTGCCAAAATACACAAGAACAAAGACTGAACAAGAAAGGGAAGGAGAACTCAGGTACAGGGAGGGCAAAAACCCAATGGAGACAGAATGAAAAGAGAGGAGGAGAAACAGCGTGCAACATCTCATGCAGGGACCTTGGTGAGGACATGTGGGTACTGGGCAACACTCGGTGAGAACAGAGGACCAGAGAAAGTGAGACACACCTCAATCACAGAAACAAACCGCTTACCCTCCGCTTTAGTGGTAGTACCATCTTTAAGCAAATTAAAAAACAAGGGAAGGGATAACAGGGAACAGTTAGTAACATTCAAAAAATTAAAAAGCCGAATGTTATTAGCTACTAAAAAAGCAAAAGTACAATTTAAAACAAAATTAAAAGAGAAACAAGTTCAACAGCAAAGCAGAGTCTGAAGCAAGTAAGTGTGCCGTGTATTGAAATTAGCTCAACATAGCATAATGTTTTTTTGCCTTTGGAAAATGAAACACAGAAGGGCAACCCAGGGTAGTGCCACAGTTGAAAGAAAGATTTTTGTTTTAGCCAACTCTCATCTTCTTAAGAGTTCCTTTTGCTTGGAGGAAAAATACCAGCAGAAGAGGGCGGAGAGGAGGGATTAGAAACTAAAATACTAAAGAGTCACCTAAAGGGCAGAGGCAAGTAAGAAGCTCAGAGAAGCTTGCTCTAGCAATGCCTATCCCAACTACACGTCCAGCAGCAAAAGCTGTCGAGCATGGTACCTGAGTCCAGGCCTATGTACTCCATGTCTTCCCTCATGTGTCTGGACTCTAGAAGTTTGGAAAAGGATCATCAGCTTTAAAGCTCCACTTTTGCAAAGATGTCATGTGTCAACCTAAGCAGCAATTGTAACAAATTCTCACTAGGATTGTGTTATATTTCAATTTTTTCGTGTTTTTGTTTTGGGACACAATAAGGAAAGTTGAGGTAGAATTCTCAGGAAACAGAATTTGAATACTCCAGTCTTGTTCTTTGATGAGGTTAATACTGGATTGAAAACTTATCATCAGTGCTTTTGAAGGGTCAGCTCTGTATTATCATACCAAAAGACAAGAGGGCTTTTATTAGCACTGGGGGAAGTCTATACCATCCATTTTAAACACTCCAAATACAGACAGAAAAACACAGATACTAAGTACTCTAAAGGCTGTTTACTCACTTTTTCCAGCAATGAAACAAATATTAATTACAAATACTAAAGGTGGATCTTATATGCTAAAGAACAGGTAAGTACTGAAAAACTAAATTAAAAGAACCAATTCAGCATAGGAGGTAAGAGCTGTTACTTCTCCTCTGCTCAATGGTTACTACGCTCCTATATAATGTTGCAATAGTTAAAACAATTTAAAAAGAGAGTTCTTAATGAGTTTCTTCTCACTTATTATGTGTGTATGAGTATTTCCGCAGAAAAAACAAGACTGAGCAAATGTTCCAGAACACCAATCTTTCAAATTAATAATGTTCCTATCACAATCACACCTTCTTCTACTTTACAGGACAATCATTTATAAAGAATCTTTATATAATTTCATTTAGTCTCATATATGAGTTAGGTGGCTATTATTGCAAGTAATTTATAGGTCTGGGAAATAGACTTACAGATTCCATGGCCTGCTCCAGGTCACACAGCTAATAAATGGGAGACCCTAAAATCTTCCCTGGGTGCTATATGCTCACTGTGCTTCCAATGTTCAAAACATTTTCGGAATATTAGTTTTAGAACTGACTGGAATTTGTTTGAAAGTTACATGAGTAACTCTATCTCAATATTTCAGAAACTTTAAATTTTATTCATTTCCTTAAAATCTAAAGTAGAACCAATCCAGCTAAGTCCCTAGATTTCGGCTTTGAATGACCTGGCTCTTACAAAAATAAAACAAAATAAACAATCAGCCTGACAAACAGTATGTGTTAAGCATCTGCTGAAAAATAGGAGTAACTGATCTATCACTATGTCATATATTACAAGTTTTGAAAGTAATTTTTAAAAACCTCTTTCGGGCAATCATCAGAGTAAGGGCATGCTCCTCCCAAGGTGACACATGGAAGGACGACACTCTTTTGTACAGACATGGTTATGCTGATTCATGAGCTCATCACATTCCTTCAGATTCCTCCTGGCATTCCCACGACCCAGTCCTACCCCTGCCAACTCTGATTATATTCTCAAATTGAGAAACACCTAATTACAATGACTACCTTTGGTGAATCCCTCACTGAACCTGCTGGCTCTGCTCCCACCAGTGCCAGAGCGGTAAAAACTTAGCTTTGGCAATATGGGAGGTGGCTGGGCTTGCCATGGAGGAGGAGGAAGAGAGTTGAGGAAAGGATGTGCTCAGTCCTGCACACTCTCCAAGCACGAGTGTACTGTGTACTCACTCATCACTAGAACAAATGACACTCCAGAGAAAGGGACACTCAACAAAGGTGGCTGGCTAATCAGCAGCAAGTGCACAAAGCTACTTAGATTTAAATAGAAGCCCTGCAACCGTGAGACTTGCCTCAGTCATGGGTTTTTGTACTTTGCTAGGAGGTAAGAGTCATCTCTCACATAGCAGAGCAGGAGGGAAAGGGTGACGGGTATGGTTACCTAAGGATGCATATGACCCTGGAGGCAAAGCCGCAGCGGAGCTGAAAGGCGTTGTTCCCGAAGACGAGGAGACTTTGGATTTGGCACTGGCTGCTGCGTTCACATCAATGTCACTTCGAGATCGCTGAAGGGACCCAGTCGTTGACACAGATTTGGTACTAACTGTAGAACCTTTAGTGATAAAAGAGGAAATATGAATAAGGACTACATAGAATTTTAAAAACACATTGCTAAAATTTGATGTTGTTTTGCTTTCCTGAAAACAAATACCAAGTTTTAACAAATGTTGGAGCATAAAAAACTGACCAACAATTTCTCCTGGTCCCTGAAGAGAGTTCAGGCAATGCCAACGGAAACCAAACGTGACCTCAGCTGTAACGTTATCGATTACATTTGTTTTCCTGTAATTGAAGACTATAAACCCCAAAGAAAAAAATGGACCATGTTTCTGGTTACTACGAAGAAGTGAAATAAGAAAAACAATGCTCACATCTTGCGTGTTTCCTTACGAAAAGACGTCACTGTGCCACGCTCTCTGGGCCCTCCTCTTTCTGGAACATACCACCCTCCCACCACTAACCATCACCCTGCTGCTGCTGCTGCTGCTCAAAACGCCACAAGATGTCTTCACTGTCTCATCAAGAGATCAGAGACAGGAGGTGCACCGTTAGTGGCAGTGTCAACATGCAGGGGAGGTGGGAAGAAAAGGTCACAGAGCTTCACTCCTAAGTCACCCTGTCAAATGTTGTCCTCAGCAGCGAGTGGCCCTGACAAAGCAGAGTCTGCCCTGCTGGATAGGGCAGGGCAGAGCAGGCTAGTTTCAAGCCCGGGAAGGAACTGAGGGCAGGCCGCCAGCCTCCCGCGCCCAGGCAGACTCTCACAGCTGCACGCAGTCCACCAGAGCCGATAACAGGCCTTCTCCGTGGCTGTAAGTCTCACCTCTAGACGTGGTACTTCCAGTAGGACTTCTTTTGGCAGACAGCGGCCGACTGAAAATAAAGACGTATACTGTTTATTACGTGCACTTTATCTGAACTAATACAAACTACAACGGGAGATTATTACAATGAAGAATTATTTCAGGGTTTTCGGAATTTTTTTGGGCAATGTGAACCACAACATTATAAACTCCCTGATTCCCAACAAAGCTTTAAGCAATATATTTTGGACTGCCTTTCAGACAGAGTGAAACAGTAACTCCAGACAGAAATTAGAAACACAGAGTGAAGACGATAATATATTAAATCCCAGAGTTTGAATGTCCTCCGTTTCCAAACTTGTCTCCAGGCTCACACTTACACCCTCTGAGAAGACTCTCTGAAGCACTGGTGTGTCTAGTTCATACTATTCTATAATTCACAAAACTTTATTCTAGGACTGCCATATGAATTTAACTGAAAACCAGTATGACAGAGAACAAAGCCACCTATTTCTAACCACTCCATCACTCCCTGGTGGTACCTCACTTTGCACCAGGATCCACCTGAAGTAAGGGGGCATGATAACAGGCACACATGTAAAAACATAGCTAGAATTTGTGTTTTCATGCAACAAACCTTTAAATACAAATTCTCACACCAATGACAAGCAAAGCTGAGTCCCTTACTTTAGACTCTCTTGAGAGCTGGAAGACGAGCGGTCAGACTGAGGCAGAGACACGATGCTGTCTGAGTTCTTCAGGTGGGACTGCAGGGCTTTCTGGTAGGAGGACTCCAAGGTGTGGTATAAGTGCTCTGCTTCTCTGCTGAAGTGACTGTGGAAACCCCAGTAACATCTAGAGGAAACACACAAAATCCCGTCTCATCCAAGGATCCTAGCAGGTCTTTCGCTGAACTCTGGAGTACACCACAGAAGATTTTCAAGGACTGGAAGCCTCGGTTTAGCTGCTGATAGTAGCACCATGGTGTAAGGAGAGGGTGAGCAAAGGAGGCCTGGTACGAATCCTGGCCTCACAACTTTACTGGCTTACAGACAGTGGGCAAGTCACTTACCCCCTCTCAACCTCAGCCTCATTTATAACATGGGAATTACAGAGCCTAACTTGCAAAATCGGGGAATCTTAGGGAAGGTGGAGCTAAACATCTAGGACTACACTGAGAACACAGGACAGGCTCATTAAAATGGCAGCTATTATAAACACAATTTCACATCTCTTAATATAAGGTATTTAAAACTGCCTTAGGTAACATGTACACAAGAAAAATTTTAAAATGTCCAGAGCTACTTGAAATCGTTATCACATTATGATTAAAGACCAAGAAAAAATGGGCCAGGGGTGGGGAGGGTCCAATACGAAGATAAAAACAGCATAAATAGATCATTAACGAATCCATTCATAATAGTTTTTAGCAACGATTATGTCACTTATTTTGTTAGAAACTAGCCAAGAAAAAATTGTCACAAACACTTCAGAGTTAGAATAAGCTCAGAAACAAGTGAAATATAATTTAACTGTGAAGGCGGCCAAAGAGCAGTAAGTACTAGATCAGGATGTGTTAATGCAGCTGAGTAAACCATAACATTATAGGCTAAAACAATTAGATTTTAGCATGTATCAGTTAGGAGAGTTGGTCAACTATGAGAAAACTTAAAACAAATCACAGATGCAAAATTGGCAGTAGTTATCTGTGTACTGCACAAGAACGTCTTACTATCAAACATCTGGTATTTACAGTCACAGTGGCAAAATTATTCCTAAGGAGGTAACAAATACAGAGGCCATGGCCACATGATTGGAGAAAACTCAGTCCTAATGGCACAAATACCTCACTTGTGAGGCAGAAATAGCAAGTGATCACTGTGACAATCCCAAGCATTAGGTCAATCCAACTCCCCTTAATATGATTCACACCAAGGCACCATCAGATGCTTGCAAAGAAGTGAGTGCAGGGAGCGAATTCCCTGTGACCACGGTTTGTCATGGTAAAGCATTAAAGCAGCTTTGGATCACAACATGGCTTAATGAGTAAAAGAATACATTGAGCATGCATGTAAGTGCCTTCCAGATCTGTGTGACAATTTGTGATGAATGTAAAAATAAGCATTCTTTTGTCTCCCTCAGTCCTATTTACAAGGTTGAGTGATGTTATAAAAAAAAAAAAAAAAAAGAGGGAAATATTCCAAAATGGCCTTTTGGGGGTCATGTTTAAAAGTCATGGTTAACAAGCATGTTCAAGTAACTTAACAAGATTTTAATAAGACGATCCACACAATTCATGTGAAATACAGAAGAAGTTAATTTAAAAAGTGTCGTGCAATAAAAACTTACTTTCTGGCTTCTATTCTTGCTTCGGAATCAGCATCGTGTATTCCTTTCTTTATTGTTTCCGCTAATACTGATATGTGTCTAGATATTTAGAAAAGAAAGCAGTAACAATCATAAATGTATGGTTTACTGCAGATGAAACCAGGTGGGAGGAATAATTTCAAAACGGCAACAGAGAACTTAGAGCCTCTGTGCCAAGGCTGTCAATTCACATGTGGCTGGGCAAAGCAGAGCACTCCCACAGTCCTTTAATTTCCAACCCTGCCCCAACACCCTCGCTCCACTCCAACCCACCCACACCTAAGGACTTTGATAACCCTATTCTCTTGTGGGATTTCTTTTTTTAAATAAAACCTGATTTTTTAAAGTCCGCACTTATAGCTCAATCTTTTATGAACCCAAACAACAAAATCTTGTGTTTTTCACAACAGAGCTAGTTTCCATGGAACTTGTGAGATAATCACTGTATTATTAAATAGGCTGCCTGCACCAAATACAGAGGGAGAAATAGAAAACTTTCAAGTGAGTGAAATTCCTTTAAGGACCTAAGAGTTACAACTTACCTACTAAGAGCAACTTTAAACAGTTACCTCATGGGAACTGATGGTAATGTCAAGGAGCAGGGCCAGAGACAGTAAGATTTTACACTGGCTTTGTAGCTGTCAGAATGCACATGGACACACATTTCAATCAATGAAATGCACTAAAAGCATCTGTGAATATTACGTGGCTAACATCAGTAAAACAACAGATGCAGTCATGAAAATAAATGTATATATTCCTTCATTCTTATAGAAGCAAGCTGGACCACTCACCAAAGCATTCACTCTCAAGACTCAGTTCAGAGGGAAAAAATTGTTTCAAATCACATGCTCACCGTTCTAGTGAATGTGTCTGCCATTCTTGTAAAAGCAAATCTAAAAATTCAAAACAGCGCCTAAAAAGTATTAAGAAATACGTAATTTATCAATATATACGTTAGTAAAATGAAACATTTTTCTTAAGTGACCCAATAAATTTCTTTTGATTTTTATGATTAGAAAAACAGAACATAAAGAATGAATCAGAACTGACTGAAAACCAAAGCAAATGGAAGTAATTAAGCACCTACTGCTGCCACAGGGGCACAGAGACAAGACCCAAGAGTTTCTTGCCAATCAGAAGCTTGCGCTTCATGGCAACATCACTAAAAGGACTTATCGCTATCATTTGTTTTTATACTATCCTAAGTAATATGTTAATATAGAATGTACACACACAGAGAAGATCAACTAACATGACAGAATTGGGTCTTAGCATTAATTTCAGAGAATGCTTTGCCCAAAGAAAGTAAAAAGTACCTTGAAAAACTAAGTGCTCTGCATATTTTCATGCTAAAGAGACACTAGGTAGTGCTTAAAATGGATTTTCTCCAATTACTTTGCCTTCCGCCAACCAACCGTTCAGCATCCTTCTTTAAGCCTTTTCACTTTTATGATTTTTCTTCATCTGATTTGTGCACAAAAACAATTTAGATTACATCAACACTTCAGGTTCTACCTCTACAAAATTTTCTTTTTCTGGCTGGGCATAGTGGCTCACGCCTGTAAAATCCCAGCACTTTAGGAGGCCAAGGCGGGTGGAACACCTGAGGTCAGGAGTTCAAGACCAGCCTGGCCAACATAGCAAAAACTCATCTCTACCACAAATACAAAAATTAGCTGGGCATGGCGGCAAGCACCTGTAATCCCAGCTACTCAGGAGGCTGAGGCAGGAGAATCACTTGAACTCGGGAGGCAGAGGTTATAGTGAGCCAAGATCATGCCACTGCACTCCAGCCTGGGCGACAGAGACTCTGTTTCAAAAATAAATAAATAAAATCTTATTTTTCCTAAGTCTAGCATTTCTATTTTTGCATGAGTAATCCCAATAGTCCTAGGAATCTATTCAAGAACACATAAATCAGAAGTAAAATCTTTATCTAAAGGAATGACCAGACTTTCTTTCCTACAATCCTCCCAATTCACCACTTATAATCCATGCACAATCCCTCAAAAAATCAAAGCTAGGAGCAGTGGCTCACGCCTGTAATCCCAGCACTTTGGGAGGGCAAGGCAGGAGTATCGTTTGAAGCCAAGCATTCGAGACCAGCCTAGGCAACAAAGCGAGAGATTGTGTGTACAAAAAAAAATTTTTTTAATTAGCTGGGTGCAGTGGCAAGCACTAACAAAGTCCTAGCTATTCCGGAAGCTGAGGTGGGTAGATTGCTTGAACCCAGGAGTTAGAGCCTGCAGCGAGCTATGACTGCACCACTACACTCCAGTTTAGGCAACCAAGTCAGACCCTGTCTCAAAAATAAATAAATAAAAATAATTATTTACTAACCATTTACCCTATGCTAGATGCTAGAGATCCAATGATAGCCAAGACACAGCCCAGAGAACAAGAGAGACAAGAAACAAGCTACATTGCCAGGAATGCAAGGGCTCCAAGCAGCTCACAGGAGAGCCACGCAGCTTGGTCCCAGGGCTGGCAGTGGTGGGGCTGGAGTGGTGGAGCAAGTCTTTTCAAAGGAAAAGGCATCAACTACACACACCCCCATTTCTCACCACTACCTTCCCCATTACTGCCCCAATCTAGACCATGTTGATTCTCCTTTCACCCTTTTGCCTGTGGCATTTCCAAGTCTGGGTTTTTCTTGTCTCTTTACTGCACTTATTCCTGCTGATCTTTCAAAATGTGGCTCATTTTTAACTCATCTATAAAGCTTCTTTGGAAGATATCAGCAAGCTTTAATGACTGCTGTATCTGAACTCCTAACTCCACAATACATATGGTAATGTCAGAATGTGTGTAATCCCTTTGTTACCAATTTTACAAAGCCGTGCTAAGTACAGGCTGAATATGTAACAGAAGGTGCACTGTCTTGGTTACACTGCACTCTTAGCTCCCTCTCCTTTTCTGAGGGCAGAGGGACTGCGCAAGATGGTCCCTATTATTGCTTTCAGCATGAAGACATACAGTTCTGACAGATACCCACTGACCAAATACAGAAACAACAATCTGAACGTATGGTTCGGAAACTGGTGAGGGTGGCAGCATTTCTATTGTCACAGTGACTGTAGGTAGTGACTCATATTTAGTGCCAAAGGCCAGAACTGCTCAATGTTATGAAGTGAATTTTGTCTCCCTGCCCCCATCAAATTAATATGTTGAAGTCCTTACCCTCAATGTGATGGTTATTTGGAGACAGGGCCTTTGGGAGGTGATAAGGTTTAGATTAAGCATCACAACGGGGCCCTTATTATGGGATTAGTGCCCTTATAAGAAGAGATAACAGGTAGCTTGTTCTGTCCTCTCTCCCACTCTCCCCTCCCTCTCTCCTATGTTAGGATACAGGAGAAGGTGATGGTCTACAGGCCAGGAAAAGAATCCTCACCAGAATCTTGGCCTGGAGGCACAGTGATTTTGAACTTCCAGTCTTTAGGCTAGGGATGTTCAATCTTTTGGCTTCTCGGGGCCACAGTGAAAGAAGAATAATTGTCTTGGGCCACAAATAAAATACACTAATGATAGCAGATGAGCTTTAAAAAAAAAAATCTCTTAATGTTTTAAGAAAGTTTACAAATTTGTGTTGGGCTGCATTCAAAGCTGTCCTGGGCTGCCTACAGCCTACAGGCCACAGGTTGGACAGGCATGCTCTAGACTGTGAGAAATAAATCTGTTGTTCATGCCAGCCAGTCAATAGGATTTTGTAATGGCAGCCCAAGATGATGAATCCCCTAAACATCCTACAATGTTCCACAACAAAGATCTGTGTCATCTTATTGGAGAAATTCTGCCTTACACAAGGAAAGGCATTCTGAATTTCTCTTGGAAACCTAACAATAGCGAGATGAAAATAACGGCCACAGCAGCAACAAATTAAGCTGTCACTAAATGTTTTACCTAATGATTGTAAACGCTCCGAACCCTACAGAGAGGTAGGTTTACATCTAACAAGTCAAACGGTAAGTGGAAGAGGAATGTTTCAACTGATGCTGGTCAGGTTCTGAAGTTCATTATCATCCCTCTGACTTGCTGACTTTACATTCTCAACTCTCAGGGGAGCTGAAGCTGCTCCACTCCAACCCCAGGAGAAGCTAAACCCTAGGTCAAGGATACATTGCTTTCTCCTGGGTACCCACTTGAGCCATACAGTTAGGAATTACCCTTTTTCAGTAGATGGTATAAATTTCTTTTTTCGTGACTTCAGATAGCTGTATTCTTCTTCCTTTCTCTCTTTGTCTTTCATGTAGTTATTAATGAGATGGATATAAAACCCACTACTAGGTATATATCCCAAAAAATGAAGTCAGTATATTGAAGAGATATCTGCACTCTCATGATTATTGTAAGTCTATTCACAACAGCAAAGAGAGGGAATCAACCTAAGTATCTATCAGCCAGATGAGTAGATAAAGACAATGTAGCATATATGCACAACAGAATTCTATTCAGGCTTAACAACAACAAAGTATATCTTGTCATTTAAGACAATACAGACAAACCTGGAAAATATTATGTTAAGCGAAACAAGCCAGGCATACAAAGACAAATACTGCACAATCTCACTTATGTGTGGAATCCAAAAAAGTCAACTCAGGCTTGGTGCAGTGGCTCACGCCTGCAATCCCAGCACTTTGGGAAATTGAGGTCAGCCTGGGCAACATGGTAAGATCTCATCTCTACAAAAAGTTTAAATATTAGCTGGGTGTGGTGGCACATGCCTGTGGTCTCCACTACTTGGGAGACTGAGGTGGGAGGATCACTTGAGCCCAGAAGTTAGAGACTGCAATGAGCCATGATTGTGTCACTGCACTGCAGCCTGGATGACAGAGTGAGGCACCACCTCTAAAGCAAACAAAATTGGACTCACAGAAGCAGAAAGTAGAATGGTGGCTCCCAGAGGCTAGGGGTTGGGAGATTAGCGGATGTAATGTATGTAAAATGTCAGAGAGGAGGAGTAAGTTCAAGAGATTGATTGTACATCATGGTGATGGTGACTACAGTTAGTAACAACATATTATATACTCAAAAATTGCTGAGAGTAGATTCCAAGCATCCTCACCACAAAAAAATAAGTATGTGAGGTGGTGCACATGTTAAAGAGCTTGATTTAACCATTCCAAAATGTATACACATAACACAGCATGTTGTACACCATAAGTCTTCACAATTTTTACTTGCCAATTAAAAAAATAAAGCTTGGGTATGGTGGCTCACATCTGTAATCCCAGCACTTTGGGAGGTCAAGGTGGAAGGACTGCTTGAGCCCAGGTGTTCGAGATCATCCTTGGGCGACATAATGAGACCCCATCTCTAAAAAAAAGTTAAAAAAAATTAGCAGGCCGTGGTGGTGTGTGCTTGCAGTCCCAGCTAACTGGAAGCCCAGCAGCTTGAGGTTACAGTGTGCTGCACTCCAGCCTGGGGTAAAGAAAGAAAAGAAGGGGACAGCTGAAAGTGGCTCACTCCTGTAATCCCAGAACTTCGGGAGGCCGAGGTGGATGGATCGCCTGAGGTCAGGCGTTCAAGACCAGCCTGGCCAACATGGTAAAACCTCATCTCTACTAAAAACATAAAAATTAGCTGGGTGTGGTGGCAGGCATCTGTAATCTCAGCTACTCAGGAGTCTGAGGCAGGAGAATCACTTGAACTTAGGGGGCGGAGGTTGAAGTGAGCCGAGATCGCATCACTGCGCTCCAGCCTAGGCAACAATATCGAGACTTGTCTCAAAAAAAAAAAAAAGAAAAGAAAAGAAAAGAAAAGAAAAGAAGGAAAAGAAGAAAGGAAGGAAGAACATTCTTAAAAAGATGGTCTGTGGCTAATTTGTTAAAAATAAAAAAAATAAAATATATTTTAAAATGACAAATACAGGACTGCTTCTTGCTTCAGAGGGTCTTGTACCCACAGAAACCTAGCAGGATCAACATGACACCCCAGGAAAAAAGGCAAACAGCTGGCAAAGGTCATCTGGCCTCTAAACCTTAGAGTGAAGGACTCTTTCACAGGGCTAGGATCAAGAAACACACTAAGGGAATGGGGCCAAGAGGTTGCCCAAGCCTGCCAGTAATTATCCTTTAAGACTCCCAATACAGTCTACTGCAAAAGCTTAGTGGTATTCAAGAATTCTCTGAAAACCTATACAATACTATTCTGTACATTTACCACTTGCTGAGAAGAGGGTCCATAGATTTTAATAGACTCTTAAACCTCTCAAATCACTGGTCTGGGCTAAAAGAACAGAGTCCTCATTCCTCACATGTAGTTTAGGGCAGCTCACCAGGACACATGCATATGACAGGGACTTGGGAACAAACCCCTAGCTAGTTTCCCAGATTGTATCTGCCTGTGTCTTCTGTGTATATCTCCCACAACTGCGTGGAACCAAGTGACAGTGAAGATTCAGAATCCCAGAAATCGCTAACAGAAGATGCAAACAACACATACCTTCCCCTTACCTATGTTAATATGAAACTACTGCCATTGATATTTATGATAATTATTTCTTGCATGCAGTTACTGCCTTTACTCAGGGAATAAGGCAGACCGATGGCAATGGTAGAATCTCAGGAAAAAAATGTACAGAGGGTCCTCTCCCCCTCTCCTTCTGCCACTAACCCCCAAACTTACTCTCTCTCACACAGACACAGAAATATAGAAACACAATATAAGTTGTCCAAATTCATTTCCCAAAATAGATCTTGATTCTTCAACTCAAAGTCATTTATTGCGATGATTTTAAGTAATACTAAGCATTTTAAACATGAAATTTTATCCATAGAAGATTTGGAATTTGTTTTGTTTTTAAACAATTTAAAAACAATGAGAAAACCCTTTAAAATTTACCTTCTAACTGCGACGGACTTAGAGGTACAGTTGCTTGTTATGACAGGTATTAACCTAGGGATGTGTGTGTGCTGTGAAGAACAACAAAAAACAGAGGTGAACACTTGCAAATACAAAAACAAAACTAAGAGAATCACTTCCTTAGTAACCTACTTATAGGACATATACGTCAGATTAGAATGTCAATGATTTTAAAAGGAAAAATGAATTTACCGAATATTGTCAAAAGCCATCAGAAAATTTACAGAGTTAAGAACAGGCAACATAATGACATGAAGATAAGCCTAAAACAATCATTAGTACGAGGTCTAAATTATCTCAGCTGTAGAGATCTGAGTGGGTTTAAAAGGAATCATCAGACCAATATATTTTGATACTGTTTCGATGGAAATGTCCAGTAATGACCTTGGGGTTAACAGTTTAAGTAGGCAGTGCAAGTAAGACCAGTAAGAACTAAAAATAATACAAAATAAATAACCAAAATAATCAAGAATATTCTGGATAGATTTAAGACAACATCATCAAGCCTCAAGGTTTCAAGAGCTGCCTCCAGGCAAAAATGACTTGAAAATGGTAGGGAGGTAATATGAAAAACCATTTTAAGCCTTTGTGAACTAGATTTTGTTAAAAACTTGTGTATAAATTACTTGGATAATTAAATAAATTTAAATAAGTGCCTAGAAAACCTAACCAAATAAAACATTTTGTTTCTGTGCTTACGTGCGATTAATTAAACTTTTGGGTGAACAGCAAAACCACAAGCACAAATACCTAAAATGGAAGGACTAGGATTAAGGAGGTAAGACTAAGAGTAATACCTGAGTAACAAGGATACAATACAAACTCAGAAGCAGACACTGAATGTTCAAATACTTTAAACCAATAGTGAGTTAACAATACCTCATTAACTTTATAACACATCCATAATTCACATTATGAGTTATAAAAAGCTCATATGCTACAATTAAGTAGAGAGAAAAAATATAAATACAAAATTCCAATATAATTATGCTAATACATTTACTCAATATAATTATGCTAACAAAAATGCCTCTAATATTTATCAACCATCAGTATTTACCACTGGCTTATTTCATGTATGGCCTATAACATACTTACCCGAATAATTAACCTAACAGCTACAACACCAGACGTGGCCATAATTTTGGCACTGTTTGGAATTAAATTAAATATAGTTGGCATAATGGCTTCAGCTCCATGGTCAAACTTATTCCCCAGAACTGATGACAGATGCCTAAAACACAAAATGGATAGTGGACTATAGTTATTTTTCTTAGAAACAGTGAAGATATAAACCACTTAACATCTAGAGCCTTCATTTAAAGTCATCTAGGAATAAAGGACAAGGGTCTAAGATTTCCGATGTGCATGCTGAGAACTTGGCAAATAGTTCTTAGCCTAAATGTTTCATTTTTATTAAAAAAAAAAAAAAAAACTCCAACTAGTCTTTGTGAAGGCTTTTGTTTGTTTTCTAGAGGCAGGATCTCACTATGCGGCCCATGATGAACTTCCTCCTGGGCTCCAGCAATCCTCCCACTGCAGCCTTCCAAGTAGCTGGGAGTCCAGGCACATGCCAACTCACCTGCCCCAACTAATCTTAGCCTAGCAAACAAACAAACTGATCACATATTAACAAAACACAAATATGAAGAAGTGCCCCTGGTTGCTTTTTTTCTTTTGTCCTTTATCTTAACATAAAATATTCAGGCTTCAAAATCTGAACTGCAGCCAAAACTTTAAACAGCTGCAATGCCTCCTCTTCTTACTGCTGCTGCTCTGATATTTTGACATACATCCCAACACAAAGTTTTATTAGCTTTGATCACTAGTACATGTACCACTAGGAAAAATTTTATTGCAGTAAATGCTTTTAACTTTATAACTAAGTACTCTGCTAGGAACAAACATTCTGATAGCCATGCTATTGTCTGTCAGCAAAACTAATGAAAAATCAGAGAAACAGAATTTTACAGAATTTCATTTTTCCATATTAACAACTGCTTCGAAGTTTGAAATAAAGGCTTCAGAGCTATGTCACTGAATAAAATAAAATTTAAAATCTGTCACATTTCACATAATTGAGCAAAAAATATTGTAAAAGTACTGAAAGAAGTGTTAACTGGAATGGGTCTTGGAGACTAGTCAGAAGTTACATGAAAGAGACCCAGCCCACATGCTTAAGGAGACATCTCTGAAGTTCTATGGTGATAATAATACTTTATGGTGAGAATATGGAGCATCGCAGTCCTTACCCCAACGTGATACAAGCCTCCCGCACTACCTGAGACCGCAGATCCTTAGCAGAGAGTTTAAAGGCTCCATCCAAAAGACGCAAATGTTGAAAGAAGTTATCATACTCAGCAGCACCAGCCAAAAGTAAAGATCTAATCTTTTTTAGCTAATGGGATAGAGAAAATTCGGAGAAACTGAAAACAATTCTAACACAGAATATACAAAACAACAGAAAAAAAAATCACAGAATATACAAAACAACAGAACCCATCAAACATAAAAGAGATAAACTTTTACCAACTCTAAACAGTTAGAGTTCAACTGATTAGAAAGTCTTCCCAAGAGAATTCAGCAGTTAAATATTAGCTAATACAATGAACAAATCTACATATCACAAATAAGATTAAATAATTTTTAACTAGAGTATTTGTGATACACATACTGCAATTTCTGCAAAAAAAAAAAAAAAGGATTTTTTACATTTGAAATATCTTAAAGTATTTACATATCCTACAACACTAATGATAAATAACTAAAAACTTTTGGCTTGTGAAAAGCCCCTCCCAAGCTTACCTCCCTCCACACCCCACTTCTACTGCCATTTATTTAGTGATCAAAGGAAGAAGCATTCCTGCAGAATAATTTCTTTATTATCCTGCACTGCACCATTAACTGTCTGGTCTGAATTTTAAGTACAATACCATATCCATTGTATCACCTCTATTCTTGCCAGCCAACCAATAGAAAATAGCCTTCTCAGATATGACACACCCTCACTTTAATCCCCAACCCACTTCCTATTAATCTACTTTTTTTTTTTTTTTTTTTTTTATAAAAAAGACAGGGTTTCACAATGTTGGCCAGGCTGGTCTTGAACTCCTGACCTCAGGTGATCTGCCTGCCTCCGCCTCCCAAAGTGCTGAGATTACAGGCGTGAGCCACCTGCCCAGCCTAATCTACTTTTAAAAATAAAGGAGACGGCCGGGCGCAGTGGCTCAAGCCTGTAATCCCAGCACTCTGGGAGGCCGAGGCGGGTGGATCACAAGGTCAAGAGATCGAGACCATCCTGGTCAACATGGTGAAACCCCGTCTCTACTAAAAATACAAAAAATCAGCTGGGCATGGTGGCGCATGCCTGTAATCCCAGCTACTCAGGAGGCTGAGGCAGGAGAACTGCCTGAACCCAGGAGGCGGAGGTTGCGGTGAGTCAAGATCGTGCCATTGCACTCCAGCCTGGGTAACAAGAGTGAAACTCTGTCTCAAAAATAAATAAATAAATAAATAAAAATTAAAAAAATAAATAAATAAAATAAAGGAGACATGACTTTCTAGCAAGTGATATGAAGAAAGAAAAGAATACTGGGGGACATACACTAAAAATGCCATGAAAAAGCCACTTTAAAGGCAAACAATCACAGAATAAAATCTCTACTAAGGTGAGAGTGGAGGCTGTCGCCATATATTTCAGTTAGGTCTTTGTTAAAAGACTAGGTGATTCATAAAAGTGTAAGTTGGTGTGTTTTCGAAATAAAAAACAGAAGGAGGTACTCTACTAAAAAGCTGAAGTATAAATATAATTTGTATTTAAAATATATGCTGTTTAAAATTCATTAGAGCTGTCCCCTGATTTTATAACAAAGTATTTGAGATATTTAAATAAATCTTATGAAAATGTAATCACATGAAGTCAACGGCTTACAGCATTTACTCTTTGCTCCCAATCATGCTTGTCATCAGACAATATTTCCCTGATTTTGTTTATGGATTCCTCAAGGTCTCGGCTGGAATAAATCTGTAAGCAAAATTAATTTACAATCAATATAAAAACATGTAGAATAAACAAATTATTTCTTAATTACATGAAGTCAAGAGCATTACATATAATAAAAGATATTTCATTTTTAAGAAATGTCTATGAGAAAATATCTGAAAAGTCTTGTCTTATAACGAGGATCTTTCTCACTATAAATGCGTACCCACAAGATTTGTTTCCATATGTGAATAACCCTGCCTCAAACATAGCTTTACGATAAACTTCACAGAGGATTTCATGTACAAAGGAGAAAGGAGCCTACTGACAGTCAGTGATGCATAAGTCATTTATTACTTAGTATTATTTTTAACATGACACTATACCTATAATTTTAGACACTTTCAAAATCTTCTTCCTCATTTATCCCACATCTTACTTAGAAAACAGGTAGAGTATAGGGTATAATCAATCTTGATGTATGTATGCGAGGAAGGTCAGGTCAAGTACTTAAGGATAAACCTGAACCCAAGATTCTTTTTTTTTAGGAGACTGGGTCTTTCGCCCAGGTTGGAGTGCAGTGGTGCAATCTCAGCTTACAACAAACGCCACCTCCCAAGTTCAAGAGCGCCTCCCACCTCACTCTCCCCAGTAGCTAGACCTCTAATTAGGTGCATGCCACCACGGATAATTTTTGTACTTTTTGTAGAGATGAGGTTTCGCCATGTTGCCTAGGCCACTGAGAGTCTTGTTACCTGATTTTTACACACATGGCAACCAAGGTGGCAAAGAGAGTTGTACATAGCAGACACTAAGTGCCACAGGAATCCAGCACACAGTCAATGTAGGCTGAGAAAAAGTATTAGTCTCAAACAGCAACAGACAATACTAAGGCAAAAAGCAGTCAAAAACTTGTGGCTATATTCCAATTTTTATAAATAATCTTCATCTGTTAGGTACTCAAAGTAAAGCATCAAAGAAGGTATAAACTTAGTTCTTATAAAACCATTCTCTACAACTTTTCAGACACCCAAATCTTTCAATTTTATGAATTTTTCTAAGAAAAATCCCTAAATAAATATACATTTTCATTCTCTAACTTAGCATCATCTATTTCTTTCTCTTTTATGTGACCTGATCCATAAACTTAATAACGGAACAACCAATGTCTTTCCTGTTCTCACTGAAAGATCATCTTGTGCCTGATTTTTGCTCCAACATTTTCTAGTCTGCACCTCAGATATCCTGTAGTGTTAATAGATAAAATTACCTGACCTAGTAAAGAACATTGCATAGGCATACTTGAAAAATAAAGTTTGAAGAATAAATCTACCCTTGTTTGTAATCACACTCAAATATCCTCACTGACCTGTACTACAGGTACATCATCAAATGCTTTAATAAAATCCTCTTCATCAACAGCACCAGCTCCTTCTTTTGCAGCTATAAAAGAAGAATTTTAAAAATGTAAACAATATGAAACAATGTGTATAATACATACACTGAAGAAGTCTAAACATACACAGTCAGAATTAGATTTTGGAAGATTTAGAACTTTTTTTTTTTTTGACATGGAGTTTCACTCTTGTTACCCAGGCTGGAGTGTAACGGCACGATCTCGGCTCACCGCAACCTCCGTCTCCTAGGTTCAGGCAATTCTCCTGCCTCAGCCTCCCGAGTAGCGGGATTACAGGCACACGCCACCATGCCCAGCTAATTTTTTGTAATTTTTGTAGAGACGGGGTTTCACCATGTTGACCAGGATGGTCTCGATCTCTTGACCTCATGATCCACCCGCCTCGGCCTCCCAAAGTGCTGGGATTACAGGTGTGAGCCACCACACCCGGCCAGATTTAGAACTTTTAAAAAAAGGTTTCATATAACTTTGGAGGGACATGAAATTGACAAACATTACTGACTTCATATCAAGATGAAATACAGTAATTCTACAATGCTATATACATTAGCTTAAGGTCACTTAGACTACCTGTTTAGGCAGGTAGAGCATGAGTGTTAAAGGATTTAGATATTGTAGTAATACACAAGTCTTTTGAAAAATTCCTAATAAATGGATCAAGCAGAAAATTTAATTCTTCAGGGAAAAAAATTATTACAGCATAATAACAATATTAACAATAATCCAGCATAACACATTTGTGAATATTCAAACAAGTCCTAAATAATTTAAGATTTAACTTTATATTAGTTTGAAAACAGTTCTATTTCCTTGAACTCATAACTGTCATTTTTTTCACTTAAGAATCAGTTATAAGTTTCTCCTACAAAGTTATCCTAAGATACTTTTGTATACAGTACTTAAAAGTATTTAAAGAAAGTATTTCTTTTTGCTAATATGAGCTCCCCTTTATGCAAGAATATCAAGTGATGCTTTATCAGATTATTTTTTTACATTTTAAAAACTGGTGTCTACAGTCATCTTCATAACCCCCATTAATGATTTAACATGACTGCTTTTCTAAGACCTGCTTACCAGACATGTATATGGTGTTCCGGGTCCTGAAGGACTATCCAGAGAGAAAGGGGCTTTAAAGACAATCCCAGGTAGCAGTAAATGTGTGTCATCACTCTTGCTGAAGATCACTCACACTGTGGAAAAGCTAACCACTATAAAGGACGATAGTCACTCACTGTGATGTGGTGCTCTGTGTCTGTTTTAGCATAAAAACTGGACCCCACTGAGCAGAGAGGCCCTGGATGCCTCCTTTGCATAAGGCCCTACACCATGTACCCACACATACCAGAGTATTCAAAGGCCAACAGCAGTCCCTAAGCCTAAGGTATCTGATGAGGAGGAGCTAACCAGGTAATTCACAACTACGGCATTAAACAACATGGGAAGACAGGGCTGATATGTGCATAATCTACACAGCAGGGACTTCTGGAAGGGATATGGATCCGGGATTGGAGGGAAAGCACCAGTCTGATCATATAGCAATTTTCTAAGCCTTGTTGGTGCAGCTGATAACTACCTAACAATAGATCAAGAAAAAAGATTAGAAAGATTGTTCAGGCATTAAAAGGAACAAAGTACTGCTATATGCTACAAGGCAGATGAAACACTGAAAACATTCCCTTTAAAATGGCTAATTTTATGTTATATGAATTTAAACTCAGTAACAAAAAAAATGTTTTAAAATATACCAAAAAATTATTAGAAAGAACTAGAAATAATCACAATTAACATCCCTGCAGCTCCTCTATCACAAACAGATGCTGGGGTCAGGGGGCAGAGTGGTGCCACACTGGTCTGGTCAAGATACCAATATTCTAGGGCTAGTTCAGAATTCAGGAGAGGCCATCAGGAGACAGGATTTTTTTTTTTTTTTTTAAACTTTATTTCCAAACTTCTCAAGGAGGTAGGAGACAGCATTTTAATGCTAATCATGAGTACAACTTTTACTTGGCCCATTCAGCTTCATTTTTTTGGTTCGTGGGATTCCCCACCCACCACTCCCCCACCACCAACAGCAGCTCAAAAGCTCACAGCTATCAGTGAAAATGGTTCTAAAAGCAGCAGCTACACAATTTTTCTGAGGTAAATTTCAGAGGAAATTTGCATGTAAATGTAAAATTTGAGAGAAAATGAGAATTGTATATAACAACTAGTTAAACTGCCTACATTAGGGGTGAAAGGAAGAATTTATGAGAGAAATCTCCTAAAATTTATTTAATGCAACATCAATACTGGTCTCACAAGGAACCATGTTACTTGTAAGAACAAAATATATTTTATTTCTTTTCATTTCCAACTTTTATTTTAAGTTCAGGGTACAGGCGCAGGATGCGCAGGTTTGTTACACAGGTAAACGTGTGCCATGTTGGTTTGCAGATCATCCCATCACCTAGGTATTAGGCCCAGCATCCGTTAGCTATTGTTCCTGACGTTCTCCATCCTCCCACCCCAAACCCTGCAACAGGTCCCAGTGTGTGTTTTTCCTGCCCATGTATCCATGTGGTCTCATCATTGAGCTCCCACTTACAAGTGAGAACGTGCAGTATGTGGTTTTCTGTTCCTGTGTTAGTTTGCTGAGGATAATGGCCTCCAGCTCCACCCATGTCCCTAGCAAAAGACACGATCTTGTTCCTTTTTATGAATGCATAGTATTCCACGGTATATATGTACCACATTTTTTTTATCCAGTCTCTCATTGATGGGCATTTAGGTTGATTCCATGTCTTCGCTATTGTGAATAGTGTTGTGACGAACATGTACATGCATGTATCTTTATAACAGAATGATTTATATTCCTTTGGGTATATACCCAGTAATGCGATTGCTGGGTCAAATGGTATTTCTGCCTCTAGGTCTCTGAGGAATTGCCACACTGTCTTCCACAATGGTTGAACTAATTTGGACTCCCACCAATAGTGTAAACACGTTCCTTTTTCTCCACAAACTTGCCAGCATGTTGTTTTTCTGACTTTTTAGTAATAGCCATTCTGACTGGTGTGAGATGGTATCTCATTGTGGTTTTGATTTGCATTTCTCTAATAATAAATGGTATTGAGCTTTCTTTCATATGTTTGTTGGCCACATGTATGCCTTCTTTTTGTAAGTGTCTGCTCATGTTCTTTGCCTACTTTTTAATGTTTTTTTTTTTTTTTTNTTTTTTTCTTGTAAATTTAAGTTCCTTGTAGATTCTGGATGCTAGGCCTTTGTCAGATGGACAGATTGCAAAAATTTTCTTCCATTCTGTAGGCCTCCGTGTCCGCTCTGATGACAGTTTCTTTGGTTTAATTGATCCAGTTCTCAATTTTTGCTTTTGTTGCAATTGCTTTTGGCATCTTCATCATGAAATCTTTGCCCATGCCTATGTCCTGAATGGTACTACCTAGATTTTCTTCTAGGGTTTTACAGTTTTGAGTTTTACATTTAAGTCTTTTATGCATCTTGTATTGGTTTTTGTATAGTGTGTAAGGAAGTGGTCCGGTTTCAATTTTCTGCATATGGCTACCAGTTCTCCCAGCACCATTTATTAAACAGGGAATTCTTTCCCCATTGTTTGTTTTTACCAGGTTTGTCGAAGATCAGACGGTTGCAGGTGTGGAGTCTTTATTTCTGGCTTCTCTATTCTATTGCATTGGTCTATGTGTCTGTTCTTGTACCAGTATCATCCTGATTTGGTTAAAGTAAGCTTGTAATATAAAGTTGAATAGCGAGATGCATCCAGCTTTGTTCTTTGTGCTTAGGATTGTCTTGGCTATACGAGCTCTTATTTGGTTCCATATGAATTTTAAGATAGTTTCTCTTCTAATTCTGTGAAGAATGTCAATGTCAGTTTAATGGAAATAGCATTTAATCTATAAATTTCTTTGGGCAGTATGGTCATTTTCATAATATTAATTCTTCCTATCCACGGACACAGACTGTTTTTCCATTTGTTTTTATCAGCTCTGACTTCTTTGAGCAGTGGTTTGTAGTGCTCCGTGAGGAAGTCCTTCACTTCCCTTTAGCTGTATTCCAAATCATGGCCATTGTGATTGGGAATTCACTCCTGATTTGGCTCTCTGCTTGCCTGATGTTGACGTATAGGAATGCTAGTAATATTTGCACACTGATTTTGTATCATGAGGCTTTGCTGAAGTTGTTTATCAGCTTAAGAAGCTTTTGGGTTGAGACAATAGGGTTTTCTACATATAGGATCATGTCATCTGCAAATAAAGATAGTTTGACTTCCTCTCTTCCTATGAGAATACCCTAATCCTAACCCCAACCCTATGTTCCTTTAGCTCAGTGAAGTTCATTATTATCCACATTCTGAGGTCTACTTCTGTCATTTCAGCCATCTCAGTCTCAGCCTAGTTCTGAGCCGTTGATGGAGAGGGGTTGTGGTCATCTGAAGGAAAAGGGGCACTCTGGCTTTTTGAGTTTTCAGCACTTTTGTGTTGACTCTTTCTCATCTTTGTGGGCCTACCTTTGATCTTTGAGGTTGTGGTCCTTTGGATGGGTTTTTTTGTTGTTGCTGTTTTCTATTTGGTTTTCTTTTAAAAGTCTGGTCACTCTTCTGTGGGACTGCTGCTAACCAGCTTTCTACAGATTGTCTTTGAGGTCTTGAGCTCTACCCTCCCCGCATGAGGAGCCTGCGGTCCAGGTAGAGAAATACAGGCCTTCCACTCCCACAGAGCTACCTCCTGCTGGCCCAGCTCCACCTCAGGCTGACATCCAACAGACACACCAACAGCTGCCACCTCACCATGGCTCACCGGGAACTGGCGCAGAGGTGGCTGGTCTCCACCACCCACAGCCCGACCCTGCACGCAGAGCATGCACACACCCCCCAACACCCAGGGGCCAGTCCACAGACATATTTTAAAGACAGGGGATACAGTGTGACTTCTGGATTAGTCTCTGTCTTGTTAAGTAGAAATTATGGTTTCAGGCAGTATTGGATCCAGATAACTAAATAATGCCATGAGGGTGCCCGCTTTTGCTCTTATCTCTGAGCTATGCTTTCCTCTGTGCTGGCTTCCTTCTCTGACAGGCTCCACCTTACCAGAATGTGGCAAAAGTCAACACAGTAGCTCACATTTACAACTCACCAGCTCATCAGCATCAGTATTACAATGCTAATTCCATTAAAGAACAGCAAGCAGGAACCTGATGCATATGGGAACTGTATCACTTCTGAGGGCCATCATAGGCAAATACTTGCACCTCTGGTTTTAAAAGTGGGGACAGCTGACCCGAGACAGGGCTTAGACTAACCTGAAGACTTGGATCCAAGGGTGGATGAACCAAGCCGGCGGGTGGTTCCCATTCCGACGTTTCTCCGAGAACTTGGTGGAGCCTTGGATGACGTAGAACTAGCAGAGGAAGGTCTGTTACCATCCACAGAATCTTCATCATCAAAATTTTTATCTAAACAGTAAGCAGGGAAACAAATTAAAAAATACTTTTTCACCCAATTATGAAACAACTAGTCTTTGAGACAGAGTGATTTTGCATACTCTTTGGGAATCTGAGGTGCCCGTCTAGGGTCTGGAAAGCCTTAGGTTAAGCCCAGAATGAAGCTACAAAGATCACACTTGCTTTCACACACCCAGAAAGCTTTCCCACTCAAATTTTGAAAAATAGAAGAAATATAAAGAAGACAACAGTCTCTCATAAAACCACCACCAAGAAATAGTTATTTTCACATTCTGGAACATTTCTGACCATGTATGTTTTGGTTTTTTTTTTTTTTTGGAGATACAGTCTTGCTGTCACTCAATCCTCCCACCTTGGCCTCCCAAAGTGCTGGGATTACATGCGTAAACCACTGAACTTGGTCACTTGGGTGTATTTGAAAATAACAGTGAGATGAGAGGCGTATGTATCATATTGGAATAGTGCCCACTTCAAACATGTAAATTTTTCCTCTGTAGTGAAATCTTTTTCATAACCACCATTTTAATAATTGTATGGTATTTTGTAATTGGAAAATGGTAGAGGTGAAACACTCTTATTGTTGGAATGTTTTTAATTCCTCAGCATTATAAATGCGGGATTGCAAACACCTTCCTACATTGTTTTTTGTTTGAATTTCCAATAGTTTTTAGGAATGAAAACCCTAGAAGGAACAATAGTGGGTCAAACAGTGTAAAAGTGCTTGATGTACAGAGACAAAATTATCATCAGAGAGGTCATATAAATGTACATTTCTCTTAGAAGTTCAAAGAACTACTCATCCTTCCACATCCTTGCCAACATTTATTTAATATCACCATTTTTAAACTTTAATCAGTCTGACAGGTGAGAAAAAGACTTCATCTTCTATGCTGTTATTTCTTTTTTAGTGAAGATGAACATTTTGTCATAAGCTCATTAACTTTAAAATTTTCTAAACTGCAGTGGATCTAATCAGTACCCTTCAAGTTGCATTGAAAATTTTTAAAAGACACAGCTCTAATCCTGCCACTTTGGGAGGTCAAAATGGGAGGACTGCTTGAGGTCAGGAGTTCAAGACCAGCCTGGGCAATATAGCAGGGTCCTGTCTCTTAAAAAAAAAAAAAAAAAAAAAAAAAATTGTCAGATATGGTGGTATGTGCCTGTAGTCACAGATACTCAGAAGGCTGAGGCAGAGCCTCACTGGAGCCCAGGAGCTTGAAGCTGCAATGAGCCAGGGGCATGCTGCTACATTCCAGCCTCAGTGACAGAGCAAGACCCTGTCTCAAGAAAAAAGAAACATCTTTGGATTCTTAAAAATCAACATATTTATAACAACACTTTAATGATGTAAAATTAAAGTTTATGTATCAAGTACAACAGTGAGTCATTCAGGAGGCTAAATAAAGAACTTAAGAGTAATTTAAATAAAACAAGCAAACAAACAAAAAAATCTATAGCTGGCAATTTTCATGATTTCTGAGAGGCATTAGTTCTTTACCAGTAATTTGGAAATAAATCATTGCTATCCCAAAAACAGATACAAAGGGAATCCTGTTTTCCTTGATCTAGTTGCTTCTTAAACTAAATTATCAACAGCCAAGTGTGTCTACACAGGACCCCAATGCTCCCTAAGACTCAGCAACAATGCACACTCCAAATTACATGGCTCAGTTTATTCAACAGAGGGTAGGGGGAGGAGGAAAGAAAGACATCTTCACAAATCCATATCCTTATGCAAATTAGCGGCTTTCCCTTTAAATCCGCCAGATTATCTTGTTATGCCATGCTGTTTCAAGATGGTTCTTACATTCCACGCAACCATTTTTCACTGATTCAGATGCACAGTGTTCTTAATTAGCATAGACTTCAGATGGATTCAGAAGGTGGTTCATAAGGCTTTCCCAAAAGTAAAATTTAAGTCTAATGTAAAGGATAAGAACAACCCAAAGGAGAAGTCACCCACTAAGTACTGCCAGCATTAGTAGTGACAAGGACAGATCTGACTCAGCCTATCTGTCCTCTGGGGAGCTCCAAGAACATCTGAACTGCTGTCATTATTCTACTACCTTAAGCCATAATCATTATTCTGCTGCGTGGGAACAGTTCCGGTCTGTGGGAAAGGTAAAAAATAAACAGGAAACATGAAGACACCATGCTTCACTCAAAAATTCATGTAAATTATGTTTAGTTCAGTCTTCTAACATATGAAGGCATGTCATTTAGAACAGTATTCAGTTGCCAAGAATTATTTTCAATGAATCAATTTCGATGGAATTCCTGAAATTTTTGCTTGCATCAGTGATGACCAGGCATGGACCAGACTTAACCTCTTACAATAACTAGCTAGAAAACCTGACAGAATATATAAAAGAACTACTTGCAGACACCAGACAATAGGCAGTGCAGAACCTGGCTGTTTAGCTAATTTACATAAGGATATGGGTTTGTTTCTCCCTGAAAGGAAAAAATACAAACAAGATAAGCTGATGACAATCACCCCAACTTTCTGCCTGGAGGTGTTAATTTCCAGGTCACCAAGTACAGGGAAGGGTGACTCAAACTTAGCCCTGCAGATTAAACACTGCAGGCAATAAAGAACAGAGTTCAGAGAGGACGGGTGCTAGAAATTATGGGACGGAGCTTAGCAAAAAGGAAGCTACACAGAAAGATGGCTACAGAAATGTGCTAAGTTCTAGGCCTCACATGTGTGAGAGAACTTCCACAAAGCAAGGCAAAAAACAACCAAGAAGGTGTGAAATGAACAATTCTTAGAGTTTACACAAGTAGGAAAGCTCCAACCAGCCAAAGTGGAATGTTCTTGGTGACCCACCCAAGGCATTCAATGGAGACCCCAGAGAGGTCAGATCTTAGTGAGATTAAAATATGTCTAGAGTGAAAATTAAACTAAATTTGCCCTATCAGAGGTTAAAGGCAGGCCTCCAGGGCATCAGACAGACCTTCAAGTAACTTAACTGTTTTGCCAGAACAAAGTATGATATTCTTAAAATATAACAAGATACAGACACTTAACAACATAACATTCACAATACACACCTAATAAAAAATTCCTTCATTACGTACAGAGAAGCCTTTTAAAAATTTTTCTAAACATAAGAGGGAGGAAAATGTGGCCCATTATCAGAAGGGGCAAAAAAAAAAAAAAATCAGAAAACAGTAAACTTCTGAGAAATGACAGAAGAATATTACAACTTCTACTATAATTCTGTTCAATATTAAAATACATAGACAATCGTAAGAAAAAAAAGGAAGATTTTTTTAAAGAACCCAATGGAACTTACAGATTTAAAGGAAAATATAACATCTGAAATGAAAATTTCATTAATTGAGATTAAATGCAGACTAGACATTGCAGAAGTAAAGATAAAAATCAGGGAACTTAAAAATATAGCAATAGAACTTATCCAAAATAAGCACAGAAACAAAATAGGCTCAATAAATAAATAAAAGGAATAGAGTCTCAGAGACATGAAGGATAATATCAAGCAGTTCAACACACAAAACACTGCAGGCCCATGGGACGAGGGGAAGAAGAGGAAGGACAGAAAAAGATTAAGAAATGATGGCCAAAACATTTCCAAATTTGATAGAAACTATAAACCTACAGATCCAAGAAGCTGCACGCCCTAAACAAGACACACACATAGAAAAGCACACCATAATCAAACTGCTTAAAGCCAGACAAGGGCAGCCAGAGGAAGAGACACAGTACACACAGCAACAAACACAAAAGTAGCAGCAGCCTTCATCAGAAACCCTGCAAGTCACAACACAACGGAAATGACAGCTTGAAAACGGTATTAACCTAGAAGTAACCTAGAACTCTATATCCAGTGAAAACATGTTTTAAGAATAAAGGCAAAAGAAAAACGTATTCAAACAAAAATTGTCATCAGCAGAGCTGCACTTCAAGAAATGTAACAGGAAGATCTTCAGGCAAAAGGCAAATGATACCAGTTGGAAACATGGATTTACATAAAGAAATAAACAGCAGTAGATAGAGTAAATATTGGAGAAATATAAGACTTTCTCCTTGTATTTTATTATTCATTCTCCTGTTTTATTTCTTTCTCATTATCATTTCTATAAAAGATGCCTGATTTTAAAGCAAAATATATTTAGCTTTCATTCTTTTTATATTCTCATGTAATGGGCCAATGGCCTGGAGGAGGAACCATAATTAGGATATATGTTGCTGTACTTGATGACACACACAAAACTATATGGGAAACAAGGCACAGGGAGGGCATGAAGAAAATGGAAGTGGTTCCATTTCCGTCCTCAAAGAGCATATATTTTTCAAAGTTACTAATAACTTGTCCAAATTGCCTGAATATGTCACACAATAATGTATCACTTATCAAACCACGCTGAGAAGGCATGCCCTTCATCACCAGCACCTGTATGAAATGCCGCCCAAAGGAGGAAAAGAAGGAAAGGAGGAAAGGCTGTACTGAGGCAGCCAGCGCAGGCCTTTTTACACTGAACTTTAGGAGTCCTACTTGTCTTCTTACTTACTCTTTGGAAGCAAATCTAACAAGCTTACTTATCTGATTTCCTAAGCAGATTAGAAGCAACTGATTATAGGGATAGTAAGAAGGAGGACACAAGAATTAAGCAAAGTGACGTTAGTAAGTGAGCTGAAGGCCTGATAGCCGAATAGAAACTGCAACAAGCAAACACATGCACAGAAAAACCCCTAAACCCAAAATGCTTAGAATACGGTGACAGTACAGGGGTCAGATCACATCTATACAACAACAGCACAATGACCCCACGCAACAACTTAAGATTCAATTTTTCAATGATCCGTGCACTATTAAGAAAGTAATTCACATTTCCCACCTTGACTGGAAATTCAGGAAAACACAGGACAAAAAGTATATTTATTTTCTTGATTAACAACTGGACACAATGCTTTGAACTGAAACACCTGCAAAGGTTTTTGGAGGATAAAAACCAACTGAGCCAAT